CCCCCCCCCCCCCCCCCACACTATCTACTCTAAACTCTAAAACCCATTTATGGGAACCCCATAAGAGGCACCTTCTTGGAGCTCTCGGTGCGCGCAATCCCCATGGGGCTGAACACTTCGGGCCTGCAGAGCCCCAATGCAGCTGGTTGAGTCAGAGACCCCAAATGTTTCATACATACTGTTGATGGAGGAAATCTTGCACCACTTTAAGTCCCTAAAGTCCTAGGAATTACAAAAGTGTAGGGCCCCTAGGTCAGGTACTGCAAGATCTTATCAACCAACAGTATGCGCATGCATAGATCGATACATGAGAACTGTATAACACATGTCATACACAGAGAAATATGTAAATATGTATTGAGACATGTGTGCATGTGTCAACGGCATACAGTCTTGCCTATGTGCAGCCTAAACCCGCCCAGCCTTTGTAGCATCTTGCGGAAGACGTGTCCGCCAGTCTGTCCCCCTGAGCAAACTAGTCGAGCAGCCACAAACAGCTTCTTCCTCGAATCCTTTCTTGACGAGATAGCAAGCAGATTGCTCATGTGTCCCATGCGCGCATCCGACCGCGACCCCTGCCTGCTCCAGTGACGGCAACCCTCATGGGTTCCGCCACAATTCCTGTGGTAAGTATGGGTTGCATTGCCAAAGCTCCAGAAACTGGGCAAGCGCCCGTCTGTGGCATCTGAGGCAGCCTTTCGTAAAGCAAAGCACCAGGGTGGCTGCCAGGACGAGCACCCGCCCCATTGCGCCACACGCACTTCTAAAGTTGCTCTTTGCAGATTGTGAAAGGTCCCACCAATGGATGGTTGCCTACGCTTCTATTCAGAACTCTTGTGATTGTCTTACTGACTGTCGATTTCAGCTTCATTGGGGTTTATACGCCGACTGGTTTCCTCGGGTGGTAGGAGGTCCGTGTTCGCAATGTACTGCAAGTCAGACTCACTGAGCCATCGATTGGTCTATCAAGCTGTGACCGGCAATGACTCAGCCACGTGCTGCAGCATTCGGAAAGGTTTGCGCCATGCTGCCCAGATTATGGACTAGTCTTTCTGGCGAGACAGCTTCTTAGGGCCATACTCACTTGAAAAACTCTTAGTTGTTCTCAGGCTTGCAGCGCTCTTAAATTTTTGTAACCTTCAACAATGCAGCAGAGATCAGCAGAGCCGTCTGGGCAAGCGGCAGGTCCATATCGCGGTCGAATCGCTCGGCCCTGTTGGCATTGGTTGTTTTGTCTGTCCGCACTGGACTCTTTCCAACCCTTACGCGTCCTCTTTGTACCATCGGCGCTGGAACAGTTTTGAAGGTTGGGCAGGATCACTATTGCGGTGAGGTGGTTGTGCAGACTTGTCTTTCGGACCCATCGTGGTTGTCTCTATAACGCAAGTAATAGGCTTATGAGGCTCATGCCTCTGACACTTGGCAGCTTAATCTGGCAGCTGAGCTGCAGCGCAGGCTGGTTTTGATGCAACACCAAACTTCAATCCCGTGCGCCTAAACCCAAGCTGAGGCTGTGGCGTTACTGATGGGTCTGCGCCACGGCTTTCTTCAGCGCTGTCCTGCGGGTGATCTGGTAGCAACTGACAACCATCCTGTGGTCAGGTAACCGCATGGCCCTATCAAAGCACAGTCAGGGTAGGGTAGGGTTTAGGGTTTAGGGTTTATAGCCTGTTGTCTGCAGATTCAGCAGGCTCACTGTTTCAAAGCCCCTCCTCGCCGCTATCATGGCCAGAGGCAGCAGGTGCCTCGCAAGCGGGAGGTAGAGCGATTGAAGCACTTGCCACAAGCCACTTCAAAGAAAACCCAGCAAATGATGGAACACCCTAAACCATGGAAAACAGCCCTGAACTAGGGAATCTGGGTCCCCAAAGCCCAAGCTTTAAACCTTAAGTTGACAAACTCAAAGTCTTTCATAGACTCTGCTTCTGAACCCTAAGCCCTAAACCCTGTTTCACAGAACTCTCATTCATTGGCGGTCCACGGCCAGCACCCTCCGCACGATGTTGGCTTCTGTGAGTTTGAACACATATGGGTAATAGGGATTGGGGTTAAGGTGCTAGGGGGGTATATGGGGATTTGGGCTTAGGGGCGACAATGGTTACACAGGGATTTGGATTGAAGTTTAGGGACGGCAGGGGTCATATGAGCCATAGTCTAAGCTCCTGGTATCCCCGTTAATAACCCCTATAATACTCCCCTATATAACCCCTGCATAATCCCCTACAGCTCATATAGAGCCGTCCCTGCCGAACTTTCGTGGGCCCTGTGCCTTCTTAGCAGCATAGCCACCACCAGCGGCCGGCTTGGGTGCCTCCCAGGAAGAAAAGGGACTTCTTGGTAGGGAGTATAGGGGTTATATAGGGACAACGGAAAATAAAATGAAACCTCCTACATTGCAATATGTATGTCTTGGGTTTATAGTAGGGACTATGGGTCTATATATCGGTTTAAGTCCCTTATTCCCTACTGAGAGCAGTAAGTTGAGGGTTCGCTACACGCGCTCTACCCAACCTGCGACAAGATCGTTGAGCACCCCCGATTAGTCTGTTACCGTAATGCAGTAAGTTGGAACCAAAGTGTGAGAACCCGTTCTTTTCAAAGAGAAAGAACCCACTTCCCTTGACAACAGAGGGCATGCGGCTGGACTGGTGAACTGGACTCCTAAATGATGTGGAGTCCAAATTCTGAGACATCACTCAATGGTTTGCATTGCGGCAGATCAAGGACAAGACTGACACCTATCAACGAAGCCCTCGAAATGCATCTTGCAATTGGGCTTGTGAAAACTAGAGAATCTTTGCAGGTCTGGGGCATGAATGTCAGCCAGCAAGAGGACTATCACTCTACCGTCGCTTGCAAAGTGGCGTTCACCTTGCAGCTGCAACCAGCCTCATGCCTCAGACTTGGCCCCAGCATGGCAACGAGTTCGTCTTGGTATACACTTGATACGGCTTGTCATTGCAGGAAGTCTGTGATGACACCATAACCTGGAAGAACAGCATGCTGAGCACTTCGGACACAGTTTTCCCATCTGACAGAGCATAAGTCTCGACGCAGCAACTCAAAATACTGCCTCGCATCACAACAGGGTCAAAACATAAGCAGGTCATACAGGCAGTTCAATGATCTCTGACGGAGAATATCCGAGCACTTTGGTACCACCTGCTGATGACACATGGTCGCGAAGCTCGAGATGACTGTTGAATCCGACGAGGCGCGTAACAGCTGACATCTACTTCATTCTTATGACTAGTACTGGTGTTGTTGTTGTTGTTGTTATTCGCGCTACTATTTATGTTCCTTCCTCTTGTTACTATAGTTGGAACTATCAGACCATCTCAGAGCGTTTCCATCCCGGCTCAAGACCGCACTTCCGCAACCGCTCACCGCAAGGTGAAAGTTCAACGACCTGCGGAGGCGTCGTGTGCCACAACCAGGCCCTAAACCCTAAGCACCCTAAATTCCCAAACCCTAAACCCTGTGATAGGAATCCTATCATCCTATTTTCGTTGAATTCCAACCTTGGCTACAGGATTCAACGATTCGGTCTGGGGATGTGGAGGAAGAGGTATAGGGGCTGCGGATGTGGCTGAGACTGAGAGTCAGGTAGAAATGCTGTTGACTTGTAAAGTTCCTGGAAGTAAGTCAGCTTGAGCGGCCTGGGCTTCTATATGAACCATCGTCTAAGCTCCTAGTATCCCCCTGAATGACCCCTATAATACTCCCCTATATTATACTCCCTATATGACCCCCTTTAAGCAGTTAAGACCCCTAAACCCTAAACCCTAAACCCTAAATAACTTCCTATATAGCCCGCTTGAAGGAGCATGGACTATAGCTCCTATAGACCATTCCCCGACCCGCCTCAGAAGTATCAAGGCTGTCGCGGATGGTGGGGATGTCGCTGCCTGCAACATGGAATGGCAATGATGACAGCCATGAGAAAAAAGTTGGTAGATTGGAGCACAGCACTCTTTCTGACTTGTAAAGGATGTAGGACGTCCTGGATCAGCTGGAAACATGTCCATAGCATTGTTTTGCGAAAATAGTAGGATAACCCACTTTGCTAAGCAAAGGCCCACATATCCACACAGAACCCTGAACCCGAAACCCAGCACCAAAGCAAATCAATTGCCCCAAGCTGCACAGCTGCCGCAGCAGTGAAAAGTCTGCGATGCTGTCTAAGGCAACAAAGCCATCCCCATCTGCCAGGGACTGGAGATGGTTATCCTGCAGCAGGTGACATGGGGCCTGAAAGATAGGGATAATGGAAAAGAAAATGGAAACTACTATAGTATATTGGGGTTATATAGGATTATTGGCCCCCTTAATAATGGAAAAGAAAATGGAAACTGGGATTATATAGGGGATTATAGGGATTAGGGTTTCCCTAAATTAGGGGTACCATTTTGGGGGTCCTTATAATAAGGATTATAGTATATT